ATTTGTCTTGTTACTCACACACTCACAGGTTTTTGATAAAGATATGAAATCTTCATGTACATATTTTAAAATTTTAAGAAACGAAAATGAACTTATTTTGCTATGGAAAAAATTTTCATTTTCTAGTAATTTGTTTCTACCTGTTCATGTAAATAATTTTTTTTTCTTCATTAGACCTGGTATGTTTTTGCTAGAATAGTTATTAAGAACAAGACTTGACAGAAAAAACTGTTAATTAGGAGCGTTTCTTAACTATATTAGATTAACTGTAACTTTAAAAATGAAGGCTTGCCAATCCCCTATATGGTTGGTAGAAATCTTAGATGTCTTACCTGCTCAGGAAAAAAATCTTTCCACACTGGAAAAATGAACCCATCTACACTGTTGATGGAAATGTATATTAATGTAACCACTCTGGAAATCAGAATGGAGATTCCTTAAGAAACTAAAAATAGAAATTTCATGTGAGCCAGCTATACTTTTTCTGGATAGCTGCCCTAAACAATTAAAGTCATCATACTATAGTGATACATGCATACTCATGTTTAGTGGCACAGTTCATAACTAAATTGTGGAGCAGCATATAAAAGAAAATGTGGTATGAGTATAGAATGAACTAATAATACCCAGCCAAGAAGAAAGTTAAATTTGAGTCATTTGGCCCTGCCTCTGAGCCACTTGGAGTGTAGATTGGAGAAAGCAAGGAAGAAGGCAAAGCTTCTGCCTGTTAGCCATTTGGAGTATGGATTGGGAAGCCAAGATGGAAGGAAAGACCCAGTCTGTGAGCCATTTGGAGTGTGGATCAGCAGAACCAATATGCAAGCAAAGCCTCTGCTTGTGAGCCATTTGGAATGCAGAGCAGGAAAAGCAAGGAAGGAAGCAAAGCCCCCACCTGTGAGCCATTCAGAGCATGGATGGGGAGAATAAGGAAGGAAGCTAAGACTCTGCCAGTGAGCCATTTGGAGTGTGGTTCACGGAGAGCCAAGATAGAAGGAAAGAAGCCCCTTTCTGTGAGCATTCAAAAGGTGGATCAGGGAGAGCCAAGATGAAAGCAAAGCCCCTGCCTGTGAGCCATTCAGAGCATTGATGGGGAGAAGAAGGGAGGAAGCTAAGCTCCTGTCTGTGAGCCATTCAGAGTGCAGATTGGATTCCAAATGGACACAAAGTCCCACAAGGTAGCGGTGCGCAGGCTGGAGTGAGGAGAACAACACGCGCCCTCTAAGCAGCCAGCTGATTTGGAGGTACTCCATTGTTTGATTGACTTTGCAAGCCTAAAGCCAAGCAACTATTTTGGAGCACAACAATATATAATGTAGTAACTGCAGTGGATTTCCTCCTGTCTTATCACTGTTTAGATTTATTTTATTGCTCTGTTTTGTTCCCTTTAAAATTAAAGAGAAAAAAAATGAAGGACTTAGTGTGGTCCAAAATGTACAGTAGATATTGTGACGGTGAAAGGGGAAGAAATGTCTAAAAAGGGAAGGTGGTAGCCATTGTTAATTTCCTATTACCTTGTTTGAAAGTCTGGTATCATTTTCATTGTTTTGTTTCATTTGGTTTTATTCTGTTTTGTTTTGTTAGATTCAATTGTGTCTGAAGGTATGGGAAACTATTTCAAAGGTAACAAGATATATTATGGTAGCCATTGTTGACCTATTGTTTTGAAGTCCTGTATCACTTTCATTATTTTGTATTGATTGGTTTTATTCTGTTTGATTTTATTATATCTTATGGTATGGACAGCTGTTTTAAAGATAACATGGGGCATTATGGTAGCCATTGTTGATATTCTATTGTCTTGTTTTGAAGTCTGTATTGCTCTCATTGTTTTGATTGGTTTTATTGTTTCATTGTTTCGTTTGCTTTGTTCTCTTTAAAATAAAATTTTTAAAAAATTGAGTCATTTGTTGGAAAAGAACAGACTTTGAGACCATAATATAAAGTAAAATAAATCAAGACATAGAAAGTGAAGTATCTCATAGTTTCTTTAATGTGGGAAACTCAACATAGAAATGAGCAATAGAAAAGGGAGATAGTAGAAACCTGTTAAGACTCTGCAGATGGAAGGGGATCTGAGGAAGGAGGAAGCGGGGAGAGCAGTGGAGAAGATAAAAATGATCAAGATGTGTTACATATATGTACTAAATCCCCAAGATGACTGTAGTTTTTACTGCATTTTGGAAATATATAGTAATAAAAATCTTTCCCCAATGAGGCTCATAAAGATGGAATATTTGAGGTGGAAACCCTTTTATTTTTGATGCCATTCTAAGTTCTTAATATTGGAGTTAGTTGTTGATGCATTCTACATCATTTTACTATTAACCACATAAAATTTTATTAGAATTTCAAATAAATCATATTAAAAATGTCCCTTTCATTGCTTCCAAAGAAGTATTTTAAAAATGTGTAGACCTAAGCTGGAGATATACCTGACTTTTCCACATTTGTGTGTGTTACAAAAAGTGTGTACAGGCATATATTCATAATAAATTCAAATTAAATTTCATAAGTGCCCCCCAAGTAATAAACTATAGATCTGCAGTTAATCTCAATGACACAGCAATAGAGTTTCCTGTCCACTTACCTTTTTAAGAACAAAAATCAAAACACAAAACTTAGATTTTTTTCCCCTAAATACATTTATTATCTTAAGTCTTTGTTTCTTAAGTGTTAGCTGAATTTTTTTGCTTTCTACCATCTTTTAGACTTAATGAATTCTCCAGATTCTATATTTTCCCAGTTCTAAATAACTGCAAGTTTGAAAGGATAAGTTGACTTTGATAAGAAGTCATGCACATGACATCCTTGCTTGTGATGTTTTATTCTTACGTAGTTCTTTTTGACATAATGTTAATATCTTTGCAAAAATGTCATCATGAATTTTTATGATACCTTTGCCATTGAACGGCCTGGACATATTTCTATTACAGTAAAGAGTTTTATATTTACTATGAATTGGTGTCCTATCATAAATTTTAGAGAAGAAATATTTGATTATTTTGACTACCTTCTTTAGGAATTATAAACTAGTAGTTTCAGTATAAGAGTTAATTTTGAATGAATTGTGTTTTTTTTTTTGGCTTTTAGAGACAGGTCTCAGTGTGCAGTTCAGGGAGGCCTTCAGCTCACTCAGTAGCTCAGGCTGGTCTAAAACTTTCAATGATCTACTTGCCTCGGCCTCTAAGTGCTGGGATTATAGGTATACACTACCATTCCTGGCTGTTGTGCATTTGCTTTTAAAAGCAATATTCTTTTGTCTTTTGTAGTTATTGCTACTTTATTATGCAATTTGTTCTTTAAAATCATTTTGAGAGTGTGTTAAAATTTATTGAATATTTATCATAATGAGTACTGAGAGAAAGGCTTATCTTATAAAATATTCCACGTGCATTTATATAGTGTATATATTTTTTAAAAGTGAGAAAATGTCAGAAGTGCAAGAAGTAAAAATCAACATGTACCCTTTTCTTAAGGTTTTTGTGGGACTTTGAATTATTTTTAACCATAGAACAAATTTTTCATAACATGTAATGGGCCTTGGGGCAATAAGTTTTGAGTCTCTTTAGTGGCACAATGCAATGAAGGCCATGTTCAAAACTAATTTTCATTTACTACAAATAAATATCTATATTGTCCTACATAGAGTTCTACATACAGTTGTATTTTTGTTCCACATGGAGTTCATACTATTAGCCTATAATATCTCTTTTGTGACTACCTGGCTTTTGTTTATTTTATTGGTTGGCTTTCTGTTACTGTGATGAAATAAGTGAGATGAACAATTTATAAGGAGAAAAGGGTTTTACTCTCATTGTTTCACAGTGTTTATGGTTAGGTGGCTCCATTCCTTTTGGGCTTGTGATAACATAGTAGGTCATGATGGAAGCACATACTAGGTCATGATGGATCACCTCCAAAGACATATCCCAGTGAACTAACTTCCTACTACTGTGTCCCACCTATTAAAGTTTTACTATCTCCAAATATTGCCACACACTCAAGACTGTCAACATTTAGGCCATTTGGTGACATTTAACATTTCAACAACGGTATTTGTCAGTAATCCTGACTTCTTAATTTATAAATTATCTTCTTGTAAGGCATTATGCATATTATAGCTTGAGAACCTTAAGAGATAATGCATATTTTTATAATTTAATTATATTCTTACCATCTGGATTAGTTTAGTTCCTGTGGACAAATAAAATACAACAATAAAATTTTTCACTCATGATCAGAAAATATATGATTACATCTAGTATCAGGAAGTTTTTGAAGAATTATACTCAATCTTAATTATCTCTGCTATTTGGTGTTAGCATTTGACTTCCTAAAATAATGGTAATTCCCTTTTATCCTGTGTTCATCATTTATAATTATCCTGTAGTTTTGCCATGTGTTTTTAATTGCTGGTGCTTTTCAGTGATGCATTTCTCCAAGGCTTTACCTACTATTGCTGTGTAGGAGCAGGAGCAGCTGTGTGGCAGAGAGATGGTTAAGGAAGTCAGATGAGTGAGAAAAGATTCAGCAAAGCATAACACAAACCTGAGATGATGCTCATGGAGCATATGAAACTGGACTGTTCATGGCTTATGTAATCAAATGTTTATTCTAGAAAAAATAACTTTTTTAAAAATTATTTTTATAATAAATGTCCCCAGTAGTACTCCTTTTTCTTCATTATTCCTTTGGTAATAAATTTTAATATATAGATTATTTTTGTGATATGTTAAATTATAATATTAACTCTAAATATTGTATGTACCATTATATGATAGAAGATGTAACAGAATATTGAAAAACATGTATTTTGCAATTCTAGGTGCTCTAGAAGTTACTTTCTTTAAAAATCATGAAACTTTTAGATGTTTATATAGTTTTTAAGTCATCAAAGACAAGGGAAGAACTTCTGTAAGAAGTATTTTTAATTGTTGTGACTTTTACCTGGAAAAACCCATTATATTCTCTAACTCACTTTCTAACAACTATTTGTTCAGTACTCTGAGGTGATCGTCGTGAGTGAGAAGTCCCTGGCAGAGCATGACTGGTACCATGGTGCGATTCCCAGGATAGAAGCCCAAGAACTATTAAAACAGCAAGGAGACTTCTTGGTGCGAGAGAGTCATGGGAAACCTGGTGAATATGTCCTTTCTGTATATTCTGATGGACAAAGGAGACACTTTATCATACAATATGTTGATGTACGTTTCCAGTTTAGTTTTTATGTGTATTTTAATATAGTTAATTGTGGTTTTAATTGTAATATCATGATGAATGATTTAAGGTTTCAAAATTAACTAGTATCTTAAGCCCAATAAGGAAATATGCATTTTAAATATTTTACATTAAAATAGCTTTTATACTTTATAAAATACCAGTATATTACTTAATATACTTAAATATGAGTTTTTAAAATATATTGAACAGTAAAGGTATTATAAATGAAAAACGAAAATGTAAATATATATATACTTTTTCTTTTTCTAGGGAAATTTAAAGTTATACAAAGTTATACAATGTCCCTTGAAATGTTTTCAAAATGGTGCCATGAGATATTTTTAACAAATATTTTCTTGAATAATGATAATGAAATTCCTTAATATGTGAAACAGCACTTGAATTAGTCTTATGATTTATTAAGGACTTTTTTCCTCTTTAGTGAAAAATTTTATAAATTTATTCATATTGCTTTTTCTAATGCTAAATTATTTTAAAAGTTGATAACCTCTATTTGCTGTGCTTTCTTTATTGAACATTAACAAGATGAAGAATAATTTCAAAAATTTTGCTTTTACTAATTCAGATGTTTTTTATGGGAATTTTTGGCATTCAAAAGAATTGATAATTTTCTTTGTCACTGTTCTATTTCCTTCATTTCACACAGTATGCATTTTCAGGATGGCTGTCTATAGGATTTTAGTTTGTGTCCAGAGATGAGGGTGATACTAATTTTCTTAGGGAAAGCTTGAGCCCAAGGTCACTAGATAAAATGCATAGAGTTTTGGTAACTTAGTATCATACATGTGTATTATTGGTAACAAATATAAATATATGTATATATTTTTTGAGGTGATATTCATATATTGTAAAATTAACTATTTGAAAGTGTGTGGCTAAGTAGTATTCAGTAGTCACATCTGGTAATTATAGCTAAATGAAAATGAATGCCATTTAAATGGATTAAAAAACATTAATTAAAATGTGTTGTAATTTTGACACTTTTTAACTATGCACTGTATTCGGCACCTCCACTTGATAATCATATTTGCCAAGTTTCATACATGTAATCTATTGTTTGAGAAACTCTCCTGTTTCTATTGCAGTGTTGGTTATTATTTCCTTGACAAGCTGTTATATATATGTGCCTTTAAATTATGCCTATCGATAACCCACCACTTTGATCTTGTTAGCAGAACAGAAGGAAAGATTGTAAAGTGTAAACTAATTATTATTTATATAAATTTTTTTCCATTTTTAAAGCTCTAAATGTTACTATTTTTGCAGCACATCACAAATTAAGTCTAAAATATTTCCCTTACCATTGGTAGTTTAAAATATAGCTATAGAAATCTAAATTAAAATTCTTGGAGACAGAAAGAAGAGAGTAAACTTGGAAGTCATCACTTATTGTTGTTATTGGAATTTGAAAAAAAGAGTGTTAAAAAGAAAATAAGAGTATTTTAAGTTCACAGTTGAGGATTATGACATCTATCAATAAAATTTTACAAATATATCTGTTAAAGATAAAAACATTTGTGTATCAGTTAATCTCTCACGTTTCCTACTGCTTAATTTTATTCTAGTGACTTTCACAGTATAGTGTTGAGCTCTTCAGTAGAGTTTAAGGTAGATGGCTTAGAGAAGTTTTTAATTCCTGTTCAGTCTTTTTTTCAAATGAATCATCTATGAGCTAAAATTATTCTATTGCTTTCTTCATGTATCTGTCACCTATAAGGGTTCAATGAATGGAGGCATTTATTGGTAGATGTTTATTGAGTGCCTATAATTTCTAAAGAAGGGGTTTATAATCCAGACTTAGATTATAATCTAACAGCTGTATAAATGAAGTGTCAGGTGTCTTAAGGAAAGAGAACATACAGTAGTAATGGATTTTAAAGGGCAGGAAGAAAGAGTAAAATTATACAACAATGAAAAGAACATTGAACTTGGAGTCTGAAAAATTGTGTTTTGTTTTCAACTCTATAAAGTTTTATATGTTTTGTGGTTTAGGAAGTAGTAAGAGTATAATAATCTGCTATAGAATTTTTATGGGAATCAAATCAATGAATATATGCTTTGTAATATGTGAAGTGCTATGCAACTATTAAGCATTTTTATATTTGATGACTTTGAGAAAAGTACAAATGTATTTTATAAGAAGTAAAATGTAATTAGAAGGTATAAGTTCCTTTTTGGTTCCTATGGGATTTGTGAAATTTAAATAGTGATTAAACAGTGTTTTAGAATTTTGTGTTTAGGTTCAGGATGCTGCTTTACTCACAATGGTGTTTTGCCAACATTGCTGTTGTCAGAGTCTAAGTGGTAGTTATTTCAGAGCTTTACTTTTATATGGGTATAAAACATTTTTTTCATGGTATAAAACTGTTTGCATTCTGTGAACATTGTAATTGACAAAGATGGACACAGATACTTTGAAGTTTTGTATTTTTACCACTCTAATAGAGAATATCTGTTTTAGCTAGTTCAAGCAATAAAAGCTATACTTTTTACTGAACAACAAATATATTACTTTTACAAAGCATAGCTAAGAGTTTCTGAATCTAGTCTATTTCTAGTGTTATTGTACCAGCCTGTTCCAATTATTCTCGTTTATTGTGCTTGATATAAAACCATGTTCAGAATTTATATCTAAAGCTGCGTATTTTTGTCATAAATATTAATAGATTTTTATAGAGATTGAAAACCTTTCCATCTATATGATAAAAAATATATATTCACATTCTTGCTTTTATGAATGAGAAAAGATTTGTATGATATGACAATATGTAGCCAGAAAAATTGATAGTGTTATTAATAGGATCTATTAATAGGAAGTACAAATTCATATTTCTCTAATTTATTTACCTAACATTTTTCCTAAAGACTCATTTTTAGAAAGTATCATGTTTTGCAACATAAGGAGGTGGAACTGAAAAATGTATGCCTTGTCTTCTGAGTAAGCTTAAAACCTAGTTACATATTAGTAGAAAACGTGAAAAAAAATAGCAAAGGTACATAATTAAAGTTGATTGAATCAACCAGAAAATCTAGATGAACATATGGTGTTGATATAAAATGACAAAATAATTTTGTATTTTAAAACTTTGGACAAAAAAATCCTCCATGTAATAGAATTGTTAATTCATTCAGGAAGTTAGTTTTGCATATTACATTGTGTTATACCTTCCTAAGGATATGGAACAGCAAACAGCGTAACACAAATGCAGAAGTGGTAATTAATATATGAAGTTCACTAGCTTTATACATGTGTAAAACAAAAAGTTTACAGCAAAATAAATGGTCAGAGAATATACCATCCTATTTTAATAATTGATAGATCATTCAACTAGAGAATGAACAAACAAACATGGGATTTAAACCGTATACTAGACCAGATGGACTTAATAAGCATTTACAGAATGTATCATCTAACAGCTATATAACACACATTCTTCTCATCTGCACATGAACATTGTGCAGAGCAGTTCATATATCAGACCACCAAGTCATAACAAATTCAAAGAGAAACATCAAAATAATTCAAGTACTTTTTCTGATTACAATGGAATGAAACTAGAAATTAATAAAAGAAGGAAATCTTGAAATAGGGTAAGAATATGGGAATTAAAAAATATGTTTCTGAGCAATCAATAGAATATTAAAGAACCCGAGAACAAATTTAACTTCCTTGAGATGAACTAAAATAGAAATAGAACATATCAAAACTTATGGAATACAGAAAAAGCAGTTCTAAGAGCAAAGTTCATAGCAATAAATGTCTCCACCAAATAAGTAGAAAAATCTGAAGTGAGAAAATGACAATGTGTCTCAAAGAACTAGAAAAACAAGAAAAAATTAGTAGAAGAAGAAATGGACAAATTCCTGGACACAAAAAAACTGCCAAAATTGAATCATGAAAGAGTAGAAAACTTGACCAAAAATGAGCAATGAAATTGAATCAGTAATAAATGATTACTTTTGGTAAAACACTATTAATAAAGTATTTTATTAATAAAAATGGTTATTTACATTTTCTTTTTTCCACCAAAGAAGAGCCCATTGCCTGATGGTTTTACAACAGAATTCTACCAGATAATTAAAGCAGAACTAATATAATTTTTTTCTGAAACTACTAAAAAAATTGAAAAGGACAGAACTCTTCTAAATGCATTCTAGAAAGCTAGTATTATGCTGATCCAATACCAAACAAGAATATGCTTAGAAAGTAGATTATCATAAACCTTGCTTCACAAATGCTAGTTTATGAATAAATTGGCTTGTGAACAATTTGGTTCTTTTGTATTGTTATTTTTTGGGCTACCAAGAGCTTGCACTTGTCAGGAAGACACTGTGCCACTGAGCTAAATCCCCAGCCCAACAATTTTGATCTTGAACAGAAGCATTCAGAAAAGCATTACTTCCATTTATCAACTCCATATTCAAGAAAGATCATGACTGCAGCTATCTTCTCCCACAAACATGAATATGAATCCCCAGAATCGTGAAATGAATCAAGTTCTTGACCAAAGTACCACTTGTATAAGCCGCCATCCCTGATGAATATGGATGCAAAATTTTTTAAACAAAATATTAGCAAACTGAATTTAATAGCACATTTAAAAGGTCATTTACTATGATCATTTGGGGCCCTTTCCTGGAATATATGGCTCAACAATACACAAATCAACAAATATGATACACCTAAGACATTAACGAAATAAAGCACCAAACCCATCCAGTCATTTCAATAGATGCATAAAAATCATTTGATAGAGTTAGTCTCACTTTTTGTAAAAAAATGAACAGATTATATTTGAAAGTCATATCTCAGCATAATAAAGGCTGTACATCACAAATCTATAGCTAATGCAGTGTTGAATAGGGAAGCTTTTAAAGGAAGTTTTTCTTTAGTATCTATTCCCAAGACAAGGATGTTCACTTTTACCACTTTTATTCATTATTGTAACAGAAGTCCTAGCCA